TAGAGTCTCCCCTAGTTTCCTTGATAACAGGGATGAGCGTCCTTGGTGCACGATCCAGTGCTCTTGGCTCTCCTTGAATCCCATGTGTTCAGTGCCTGTTTACTGAGTTAGGCTGATCACCTTTAAATTTTAGTCTGGTCACCTTTTTAAATCTCTTGGCTAGTAGAGGGCTAATTAAGTTAGTTACATTTCTCATGGAAGAAAATGACGTTAATGGTGCTTCTGTCCATATTGTTTGGGGAAATCTTTTACTCTTGTGTTTTGAGCATTCATGTACCACCTGAACTTACAGTTTATGCTCAGATATTTCCTGGTGAGATGCCATTTTGACATTGAATCATGCAATATTAGAGTTGGGGGTGGGTGCCACAGGCCATCTGTAGGGGAACCTTCTAACTTTGATAGGTAGGTAGATGATAGCCGCAGGGCTGCACGGTAAGTATGTGGTAGAATCGGGACTAGAAACCAGGTTTTACTGGGTGGTAGATAAGTTCACTGTTAATTTAAAGTATAATGCTTGAAACTTACTACTTTTACATGATAAATGTAATAGAATCTCTGGATTGGAAGGTAACCTTTAAAGAACCCAAAGTTCAACAAGCTAGCTAGCTGATATCTGAATCTCTTCTAAAATATTCTTGCCAGGTAAATTTCTAAGTGAATGCATTAATAGCTTTGTCTCCCTGCAAAGCAAAGAACATACAGTGTAATATTTCTCAGAGTTTGACCAGAGTCCCCTACCTTAGAACCATTTAGATCGTTGCTAGAAAACAAGATGCCTGCACTCCACCCCAGACCTACTGAATCAGAATTTCTGTGGTGGGCCCAGGAATCTCCAGTTTGACAGGAAAATTTCATTCTTCTTTCAGATGATCGATGTTCTGATCTTTGAAGATAGTTTCCTGCCCAGTTTCTCAGACCTCTTCTCAGATGAAGTGGTTCCTTTTAGCTTGTCTTCATATATCCATTCTTTGTTAATTTCTTCACTCTCCTGGAATCACATGTCTGTGGACAGATTTTAATTTTTTAAATGTCCTGTTTCAAAATTGTGGCATCATGCTGTTTTGTCTAGTTAAATTTACTGTCAACTAAAATCTTTTAAGTGCTTTTTACAAAGCAATTTGTCTTTCATCTTCAACTTCTATATTTAGGTATCTAAGTATTAATACAAGTTCTACTTACCCTGCTAAATTTCATCATTAGCTTGCTTTTCAAAGACTTTTTGGGTTCTTATTCTGCTATCAGCATTATTCACTATCCCAACAAATTGTCATCCACAAATTTAATAAACTTGCCTTCTATTTTTGTACCTGTCCAAGTCATTAATTAAAATATGGGAAAGGATTAGGGGCAGGAGTAGTACTGTATCTTGAGTAAGGTTTTTGTTCCAATCTAATCTTAGTTATTCTTTAATCCAGCTTGAATTTCTGTGTTTTTTTTTTTTTTTCTGTAACGGTAGCAAGAGAAACCTATGGAGCCTGGCTGAAATCTGTATAGTCGGTGTTTTATGCCTTTCTTCTTTGTGCCAATCAAGTTTCCCTTTCTAAGAAGGGTTTATCTTGTTTTTCATATGCTTGCTAGGTCTCAGGGACTACTCCTTCATCTCCCGGTTCCTCACACACTATTTCTTCAGTAATTTCTTTTTGTTGTTGTTGTTGCTGTTTTTGAGACGGAGTCTCGCTCTGCAGCCCAGGTTGGAGTGCAGTGGCCTGATCTCGGCTCACTGCAACCTCCACCTCCCGGGTTCAAGCGATTCTCCTGCCTCAGCCTCCTGAGTAGCTGGGACTATAGGTGCCCATCACCATGCCCAGCTAATTTTTGTATTTTTAGTAGAGATGGGGTTTCACCATGTTGGCCAGGCTGACCGCGAATTCCTGACCTCAGGTGATCCGCCCACCTCGGCCTCCGAAAGTGTTGGGATTACAGGCGTGAACCACCACGCCCGTTCAATAATTTCTTTTCTAAAATTTTGACTGTAGATCAAGCCCACTTTCACCATCTTTAGTTTGTAGAATTCATGACTTGCATCTTTTTGAAAAACTCAAACACGTACCCAAGTGCAATCTTTCTTTACTTATTTTCTCGGGTATTCATCAGTGATAACAGTGATGAACTTCTCAGTTGTAATACCAAAATGTTCTAAGAACTATGTCCAAGCAAGGATTACTAGTTACATTTTCTCTGACAGTCCTGTCTCGTCTTGGGTAGATACTTGTCAGCATTTTTCTTAAAGTTATTTTTCTTGCCCTTAGGTGTTTTTTAAAGCTTTGTATCACTGTGGGAAGGATTACATATAAAATAAATGTATGTCAATAATGGGAAAGTATTGTTTTTCATAGTTCTTGTCTTCAGGTTTAATGCTCTTTGCACCCAGGGTCCTCTTCAGCAGAGTGCTAAGAGCACTTGCTCTGGAGTGGCTTTAGACTTCCTTGCCTCCGTAGGAAGGAGAAAATAGTAGGAGCCTCTCAACAGGGTTGATTTGAGAAGTCTGTGCGATAATGCATTGTACAGTGCTTAGCACTGCCTGACACAGAGTTTGAAAGTATCATTGGTAGTAATATTGTCATGTGTTGCTGCATGCACCTATGTGGTAAGTATCTAAGGTTATGTAAGTTGGTCAAGCTTTACATAGTTGAGTGGGCTTGAATGAGAAAGTAAAGACCCTCTATTTCTAATTCATTTATGCCACTGAACAAAACTCATTCAGTTCTTTATTTCAGATGGAACTAGAAGCATTACGCTCTATTTACGAAGGAGATGAAAGTTTCCGGGAATTAAGTCCAGTTTCTTTTCAATATAGGGTAAGACATGGCATGAGTAAGAGCACTTAGAACTTTGCTAGAAAAGACTAAAAGTGGCTAAAAATGCTCATTTTGTTTTTTAAACTTGTTTAAATTTATTATGTCTGTATTTTCTATAGCATTTAAATGGAAATATCACCCAAACATCAGTCATTTTTAACGTTTGAAAACTTAATTCAGAAACTTTTAAAGAACCAGGATAAACTTGTTTTTATTGTACCAGAATCATAAGCTGTTAGAAATGGAAAAAACCTTAAAAATTATGTGATCTTATCTTTAACATAAAATAGTAACAGTAGGGCTGGGCACGGTGGCTCACGCCTGTAATCCCAGCACTTTGGGAGGCCGAGGTGGGTGGATCACGAGGTCAGGAGATCAAGACCAGCCTGGTCAACATGGTGAAACCCCATCTCCACTAAAAATACAAAAAATCAGCCGGGCGTGGTGACCCGTGCCTATAGTCCCAGCTACTCGGGAGGCTGAGGCAGGAGAATAGCGTGAACCTGGGAGGCAGAGCTTGCAATGAGCCGAGATCACACCACTGCGACAGAGCGAGACTCCTGTCTCAAAAAAAAAAAAAAATAGTAACAGTATTTTTTTTCCGTAAATAAGTCATATAAACCTTTTATTCAAATGATAATAAGTAGGTGGGGCACAGTGGCCCACACCTTTAATCCGAGAACTTTGAGAGGCTGAGGCAGGAGGATCACCTGAGGTCAGGAGTTCAAGACGAGCTGACCAGCATGGTGAAACCCTGTATCTACTAAAAACACAAAAATTAGCCAGGCATGATGGTGCACGCCTGTAATCCCAGCTACTTGGGAGGCCGAGGCAGGAGAATCGCTTGAACCCGGAAGGGGGAGGTTCCAGTGAGCAGAGATTGTGCCACTGTACTCCAGTCTGGGCGACAGAGCGGGACGCAAAAAAAGCAAATGATTATAAGTAGTGGAATGGGAAAGTTTTTTGGAAAAGGTTTACAGTTATTATTAACACTGTCACAGTTTAAACTATGAGAAATGATCCTTATGCAGGATGGATGGATGGCCGTCACAGAAAATAAGTTTCTGTTCTCAATTCCCTTTCAAGCTTAACAGTCCTTACACCATCTCCAAGTATATAATGACCAGGAACCTCAAATGTCCAAAATTAACAGTGGAGCTAAGTCCTAGGCCCTTCTATTTGAATCCGGTTGCTACTCTCTCCTTAGCAAATGGGAGGTTGAGAATTTCCCTGTACTTTCCTAAATGTCTCATTCACCATGGCAGTGATTTGGAGCACACTACAGAATGCTGTAGGACATTTATATGTACTATAAGACGGACACTGATGTGACCCATAGGATGGATTTAGGAGGAATGAGACATGAGATTAGGAGACAGCGTGTTGATAGTCAAAGGGTCAGCGGTAAAGTTCTGCCTGTGTCCTAAGTCACACCACTCAGTTCTTGCACAGAATAGTCTGGTAGCCTCCTAGTTGACTTCCCTGATTTAGTACTTTCTTTAGCTTCCCCCTTATACTCCACCATTAGTCCTCCAACGGTACTAGCTGGCTCTCTGAAACATTCAAGTAGTCATCCCATTCTCTTGTTCAAAAATGTTTCTCCATGGGCTCCTCTTGCCTATAAAATGAGGACTAAATTTTTTCACATGACACTCCAGATCTTTCTGTTTGTTTCTGTCTCTCCAAACTTTTCCCACCACTCACATGCCTTAGACATAATGGGGTGTTAGATTTTCCCCCATATATTTTTTTCTAGTACTGTGCTTTTGCACACATTGTTTAATCTTTCCCTCACCTCAGGTCCATTATCCCCCTGCCTCTCCTTTAAGGCCTAGCTCAGGCCTCCTCTGCGACACATTAATATTTGGGCCATGTCTCCTGTGTCAGCTCTGACTTTGGATCAGAATTAGCCATTCCCCATTTCTTCATACTTTGTTTTGTTACTTTTGAGTTATTATTCATATTGCAGTTTTGTAAGTTATATAAATACCTGTCTTGAAGATAGGAATGGCCTGGTCTCTATCTTTGTATCTTCAGTACCCAGCACAGTGTGAGGCATGTGATAATTTATTCCTAAATGCACCATGAGAAAGGATGTAGTGATTGCATGAAGCAGGTAACTTTTATCACTTTTTATCATCTATGTTTAAAACATAAACATAAACCAATGACATCTATTATGCAGATAATCCTTATCCAGGTCTATCAGCAGATCCCTACATTTATTTTAATAACAATACAGAGGAGATTAGCATAGCCCTGTGCAAGGATGAGAACGTTGATTCATGTATCATTCCATAGTTTGACTAGAAAATCACCATTTTGCAACCACCAGTGTAATAGTTAGTTACCGTTAAGGACTGTTAATGAAGGCTAAAGCCTTTGGGTGAAAGGTTGTTGAGAAACAAGGTATTCATACCTTGTTTTGTAGAGCTGCCCCACAGATGACGATGATTTTTTTTTTTAATAGAGACAGGGTCCTGCTATGTTGCCCAGGCTGGTCTCTAACTCCTGGCCTCAAGTAATCCTCCCACCTCAGCTTCCCAAAGAGCTGGGATTACAGACATGAGCCACCTCACCCAGCGAGATTATTCCTTAATTACAAAATGAAAAGGTTTACGTTGAAGAGATCTGGAGAAGATCACCTTAACCATGTGATCAATCTTAGTGTCACCAATGATGATTCTGGACGATCTTGTGTACCTCCTTATATGATGCTGTGGGAAGATGCCACATCACCTCTATAGCTTTCTTACCACAAATGTTTAATTTGAATGAGTTCAGATCTGGGGACATTATATAAGAAAACTAGCCTGTATTATTTTTGGTTTAAAAGGCAGGGGAAGCCAGGCACAGTGGCTCATGCCTATAATCCCAGCACTTTGGGAGGCTGAGGCAGGAAGATCACTTGAGCTCAGGAGTTCGAGACCAGCCTGGGCAACATAGGGAGACCTTATCTCTACCGAAAGTTTTTTAAAATTTGTCTGGCATGGGGCACACACCAGCTACTTGAGTGACTGAGGTGGGAAGTTGTTGTTGTTGTTGTTGTTTGAGATGGAGTCTTGCTCTGTCGCCAGGCTGTAGTGCAGTGGTGCGATCTCAGCTCACTGCAACCTCCGCCTCCTGGGTTCAAGCGATTCTCCTGCCTCAGCCTCCCGAATAGCTGGGACTACAGGCATGCGCCACCACGCCTGGCTAATTTTTGTATTTTCAGTAGAGACGGGATTTCACTGTGTTGGCCAGGATGGTCTAGATCTCTTGAGCTCAGGTGATCTGCCCACCTTGGCCTCCCAAAGTGCTGAGACTACCGGCATGAGCCGCCATACCCAGCAGATTTCTTTTTTTATTTTATTTTTTTTACTTTTGCCACAGACTCTTGCTCTGTCGCCTGGGCTGGAGTGCAGTGGCATAGTCTCAGCTCACTGCAACCGCTGTGATTGTGCCACTGCACCCCAGCCTGGGCAATTGAGTGAGACCCTGTCTCAAAAAAAAAAAAAAAGGCAGGGGAGAAGGCTGGAGACCGTTCTAAATTAAAGCAGAATAAAGAGGTATAGCAACCCAGTGCAATCCATGATCCCTCAATGGATTATGGATTTGTGGATTGGGATGATGCCTATTAAAGGACACTTTAGATATGATTGGGTAGTTTTTAATAGAGTTTATGCATTAGGTAGTATTTTTGTGCCAATGTTGAATTTCTGGGGTGTAATAATGATCTTGTGGTTATGAAGAAGATTGTCCTTTTCTTAAGATACTTTACTCAAATATTGAGGAAATTTCATTACTGTTAAATGTTTCAGCAAAAACCAAAGGGGGAAAAAATCACATTGGGAGAGTAGGGGTTGATGCTATGGTGGAAAGGGGGACGGATAAAGTAAATGGGGCAAAAAGTATTTGGTGAATGGGATCAATGTCAGTGAGTGTTCATTATACTATTTCAATTTTTCTTTAAGATTAAAAATGTTTAAATAAAAAGTTGGCAGAGCAAAAGAAGGGCGTCTTTATTCAGAAATTATTATCAGCTGAAGGCATTCCTTTCCCTTATCCTTTGCCTTTTCCTTCTTTCTCTCAGTTTTAAATTTCGTTTTCTTACCTCTTGGGATTGTGCCTCTTGGGATTTAGCAGTTGGATAACTTAAAACAAAGATGAGGTGTGTCGAGTTTGTGAATTACTTTTGCCCCTTCTCTTTCTGTATCCCACGGATAAGTTGATGTCTTACTTTCATCCTCAGAAAACTGGTGAAAACACTAAAAAATCCCTGAGATGTAGGCGTGGTACTAGAAAAGCTGATAGGCTGGTTAGGGACAGGACATGGGCATAAACGGAACGTATAAAGGCATGCTAGGACTAAATTAAAATCAGACTGTCCTGTGACTCCCTGCACCCCTGCTCAGTCCTAGCCTGTATCCCTGGACTTTTCAAAATATTACATTTCTGATCTGAGCGTGAGTATTGGAAAGAATTCACCATTTTGAAGATTATAATTTAGTTTTCTGTCTTTGTATCACTTTTTACAAGCCTAAGATTTCCCCTTCTCTTCAGATAGGTGAAAATGGTGATCCCAAAGCCTTCTTAATAGAGATTTCCTGGACAGAAACATATCCCCAAACACCTCCAATTCTATCTATGAACGCTTTTTTTAACAACACCATGTGAGTAGTGTCTTGTTTTTACTGCTTTTCATTTCACGCTCTGTTACACTTTTCTCTCAGCAAGGTATTTTTGCTGTGCTTTGTAGATCGTCTGCTGTAAAGCAGAGTATATTAGCCAAGCTGCAGGAAGCAGTGGAAGCTAACCTGGGAACCGCGATGACCTATACATTGTTTGAATATGCCAAAGACAATAAAGAGCAGTTCATGGAGAATCACAATCCCGTTAATTCCGCAGTGAGTGTGTGATTATTTTTTTGCCAGATTCTTTTGTTGTTTTGGTTTTGCTGTTAGTAATACATTTGCACTAGTTAATATCTATTCAGAATTGGAAGAAGACTTTGTTAAAGTGAGAGTTACCCCTGAGTTAAATAAGAACAATGAATTTCAGAATTTTTCTATTTAACCTAAAAAATGATATTATATTCTCTAGATTTTTATCCTTTATCAAAGACCAGGATTTGTTTAATATCTTCATAAAGCTTAGACAGCTAAGGGATCTGTTATGCAGTGCTAAAATAAGTATGAAATTGCTTTCTCCATGAGGCTTGTTTTGTTGTAAGTAGTCTTGCCACGGTTCAATTTGCAGAAGTTGCAGCATGTGGAAACTTTATTGAATAGAAAAAATTGTTTTATTATTATTTCTAGAATAGTTTTAGGAAATATTTCTTTTATGACCTTAAACATCTGTGTATGAGACCCCTTTGCACCACGTCATGCACTAAAAGACTTTGAGTGGTTCAGTGTAATTTAGTGTTGTCTTGTGAACCCAGTGGTAAGCTTTTGGCAGCAAGGCCTGTCTTCTGTTTGAGTGGTTTTGGCTTTCACATTCCCAACAGGGCACAGAACCCCAAGAGGCAACTGGAGGAGCAGTGGAGGGTGGTAGCTAAGATCATGGACTCTGGGCCAGACTGCCTGGGTTCACATCACTGCACCACTTACCAACTCTGTGACTTTGGGCAAGTTTCTTAATCTTTCTGTGCTCAGTTCCTCGTCTGTAAAATGGGGGTTATATAGTCCCTACCTCCTAAGATTGTGGTGAGGATCAAATGTGTGGTATGTGGAAAACATTTGCAGCAGTGCTTAGACCTAGTAAGCGTTTTAAATTTTAGCTATCATATACCCTGACTGCATTAACCCAAATGTCTTAAATTTTTTCTTCTGGAAACCAGGATGTTCTAGGTAGGCACATGTGATTTTTCTAAAGACATGTTTAAACTGTCAAATATTCACACTGAGAAACAGCTCTGTAAAGAAAAAAAAGGTTTTAATTGAATTTCCAAATAACAGCAAGTTAACTGAATTGTAAAACTACTTTGCAACCTCAGATCTTTAACATAATGCTGATAATCAGATCTTCCTTCCCAGGATGTTGGTTATAACAATTGAACTAATATTACGTCCTTCGATCTGAACTTTTAAAAGAGTGAAACCAATAATGTGTTAAGGGCACTTGATTTTAAAAATGAATCATACTAATACAGGATTCTTTTATTTCATAAGTGTAAAAATTATCAACCCACTTCGGGGTGTAGCTGTATTTAGTGTAACACAAGTTGTAAGGTATGAGGCTGATAATTATTTCTTTTTTTTAGACATCGATAAGCAATAGCATCTCAATTGAAACTCCTAATACAGCCCCATCAAGTAAGAAAAAAGACAAAAAAGAACAACTTTCAAAAGCCCAGAAGCGTAAGCTGGCAGACAAAACAGGTTTGTATGTGTTTCTTTTCTTTTTTTTTTTTTTAGACTGAGTCTTGCTCTGTCACCCAGGCTGGAGTGCAGTGGCATGATCTCAGCTCACTGCAACCTCCACCTCCCAGGTTCAAGCAGTTCTCCTGCCTCAGCCTCCCGAGTAGCTGGGACTACAGGCACACGCCACCACACCCGGCTAATTTTTGTATTTTTAGTAGAGACGGGGTTTCACCATGTTGGCCAGGCTGCTCTTGAACTCCTGACCTCAGGTAATCTGCCTGCCTCTGCCTCCCAAAGTGCTGGGATTACAGGTGTGAGCCACCACACCCGGCTGTTCTTTTTCTTTTATAACCTAGATAAATGGATTGCTTTTTAGTGTGATCTGGTGGATATGTCTAGATTAATTCTCTACTCTTTCTTGGAGCATTTGGGCCAGTGAACTTTTGGGTCACATATGTATATTGAAAATATTTTGGGAGGCTGAGGCAGAAGGATCGCTTGAACCCAGGAGGCAGCCGTTGCAGCAAGCCGAGATCGTGCCACTGCACTTTAGGCTGGGCAACAACAGCAAAACTGTCTCAAAAAAAAAAAAAGAAAAATATCTACTACTACTTCATCACAAGAGGTCGCCATTTGAAAAAAAAGGTAACTGAGTGGCAAAGTATAAATGAGTCTAGAGGTTGAGGAACATTCAAATAGTCTACAAAAACATGTCCTACCTACATGTTTGGGATTTTGTTTACCTCTTTATTAGCTGTGTGTTATCAAAAATTTTTTGAAATACAGCTTTCATTTGAAATGAATACTGGTATACCATTAGGTGTTAGTGTGATAAATAATTTAACATTTTTGTCTGTAGTTAACTTATTTATACAACCATAATATTTGAGAATAGAATTCTCATATGTTCTAAACAAGAATTCTTTAGAAGAAGATTATAAACTCCAGGCCATACCAACAA